CATCTTTGTATCACGCTACATAATATTTGAAGTGAATATTTATCTATCTGTGTAACTGCTGCTGCATATCATGTGGTTTGCTGTGTTTAGATGTATCTGTTATTAGATAGTGTATTCCTCTTGCGGTCTTAGTTGCATATCAAGAGAATGACTCTAAGGGCTGATGCTTGCATGCAGTACAGTCCACATAATGGCTGATGATAGGCTCTGTCATCAGATGAGTGGTGTTTCTAGGTGGACACAAATGGTGGGGCAACAAGTACTGTGGACAAATTAAAAAAAAAATTAAAGACCCAGTGTGTAAGATTTAGTGGCATCTACTTGTGAGTTGCAGATTGCAACCAACTAAATACCCCTCAGCTCACCCATCCCTTTCCAACCGTGTTGGAGAACTACAGTGGCCTTCAGGTAGGGATAGTTATATTTAGGATTTTAACCAGAGTTAGTAATCTGTCATGTACAGTGTAGGAGGCTGACACTCTAAGAGACACTGCCAAACAAGTCACTAAGACTTATTCCAAATTAGAGGGTCTGGCACTGGTCCCAGTCCAAGCAGCTTTCTCAGCTTTGAGTGCAAAGAGAGAGAACAATGTCACTGGAAAATATGTGTCGAACTAAAGGGACGGCACCCTCTTAAGACTTGGAATTAGATTGTGTTAATGGCATTAGGGTGTGACGTAAAGCTTGATATGCTATCAACGCCCTCTGTGGCCAGATGGGATTGAATTACATTTTATTATCATTTTGTTTTTTCTTAAAACTTTCTTTGTGAACTGTGCTTCTGAAAACTTGATAACAACATGAAAAACTGAATCATGTGAGTGGTTTTAAAAAGTGGCCTGTTTGCTATTTGAGTTTCAAAAGCTTTGTGATGAAGCATAAATTGTTCAAATGAAATCCTATGATGAAGAAGCAATAATTCTGTACTACAATCTGGATTTTGCATGAAACACCACATGGTGTCACAAAAATTGACACCGCTGTGTTAATTAGGACTGCTTGATTATATTTAGGCCTCCTCCTCTAAAGCCACTTCAACTGCCTTTCTGTTGCTCACTTTGTACATCATGCCTACTGTTACATTGTGATCTACATACTTAACGTCTTTATCTTCTATACTGTGAGTTTTCCCCAGTGAAATGGAGTACTTTAAGCGTGCAGAGTACAGGTGTATATTTACAAGAGGGATTTTAATCAAAACCCTCTCATTTGAACAGTTTAAAAGTGGGCGGGCTTAGAATGTAACGCCATCGAGAGCTACAGAGGACTGTGGCTCCACACACACCTCCATTGTCAGTAAAAGTTGCAGATTGATTGATGAATGGATGTCATGATATTATTTGTTGAAATTAGTACGAGCTTACGTAAACACACGGAATATTTTTTTCATCAGAAAAGATGATTGGGTTTTGATGTAAAATACGCAGAAATTGGTTAGATGTTCAATCCCCGGCTCCTCCAGTCCGCATGTGGAATTGCCCTTGGGCAAGACACTGAACCCCAAATTGCTGCCGAAGGCTGTGCCATCAATGTGCCATCACTGTGTGAGTCTACATGAATGCAAGTCCATTTACCAGTTACAGACCTACCACAACAGATCTTCTACGTTACGGCTTAACTACAGAGGCTGTGCACGTAGCTTAACCCCTTAACACACAGCTATAAATCTAGAGCCTTTAGGTTTTCAGTGAAACTCCGGGCTGCATTCTGCATGCTTTAAAAACTGCCCCATTTATTATGTGTTTCTACTGGAGTTTTGATTTGAAACATTTATCTTGCTTTGTTAAGGCAAGACACTACAAGCAAAAACATCCTTTTTTCCTGCATTCTAATTTTGAGATTTTACACTATTTTGCCTCCATAACGCGTCTTTTTTCAGACTAGTGGAAAGAAAACATCCAAAATACACATATCAGCGTTTATTTTACTACTTTGTCAGTTTGCGTACATTTCTCCTATATTCACCAAAAGTTACCATTAGATAATGCCTCATTTGTATATGAAAGCATAACACATCAGAAAACTTAAAACAAAAAAAATAATTGTCTTAACGTAAGTAATTAACTGGAGAAGTTTTATCGTGATATCTCTAGTTACATCGTTAACCTATTCACCTGTAGTGTTTTGAGATTAAAAGAACTTTACACTACAAATCTAGGCCGTTTTTCTCAAAATATTTTTTTTCTCAGACTCTGCATGTTATGTAACATTGTATTCCTAATTCCTTCTGTAAAAACCTTTGACTTTAATATGTCAATAAAATGAAAAAAAATATTTTGAACCTGCCTTTATCTAATGTTCAGATTTCTTCTCTGGAAATGTATGAAAATTAACACATATTCGATAAGAAAATGCCTCATTTTGAACACAAGATTTTTCACATAAATTGTAATACAAAAAATAAATGTATTCATGTAAGTACTCAACTTTGGAAGTTTCATGGTGATATCTGTAAGCTAAATATTTACACTACTCACCTGTAGTATCTCCCCCTCAATGTGACAAGAGCCCTGAAACCACACTGATTTAAGTTTACATTTACTGTATTTGTTCCACAGCCAGTACACAGAAACATACAGATATACACATCACAACACATACAGATCAAATATGAACAGAATACAGTCTTCATGTATGCACTAGTTTGTCCCAGCTCAGCATTTAGCGTCAACGGTGTCAGTGAGGCAGATTGTTCAGGGCTGTTCTGCAGAAGGAACCGAACTTCTGAAGCAAGTTTGTCTCCATCTAAGTGTTCTGTCTCTCTGACCAGATGGTAGCAATGTGAAATGTTGGTTTAGTGGGTGATCAGTGTCATTTGATATTGCGAGTGCAAGGCGTATGATGGCTCCGAGGTTCATACTGTACGATAGCAAGCAGTGTTAGACCACCAGAACATGGCTTTCAGTATGGTCCTATACCACGTTGCATTGTCTTTTTAAATGTTGCCTCAAATACAAACACAGTCAACAGTGATTTAGCAATAAGAAGGGTTTCCCCCAAGTTCATCTGAAAATGAGTCACAGTAACACAAACACAGCTGACTTAGTTTGCCTTTAAAAGCTCTGTGGTGTCCAGGGCCAGCATCACTGCTTCATCCCTGACTAGCTGCTTTGGTATGGTGTTGCTGTTAATATGATGAGTAGAGGCCAGAGCAGCGTGACTTTCTGCTGGGTGTTTATGTTATCCAGAATGCCAGCCAAAATGTTTATTCCACTGATGCTGAGCAGATATAAGAGCTGTTGAAGTGATTTATTTTAGAGAGAGAAGCCAACATTCCTTGGACCTCCCCTGTGCTGTGGTTCGCCCGTCTTACACCAGTTATGGTCATTGTCACAGTGAACTGAGAAATTGGCCCGCAAGTCAATTAAAAAATATCTTATTTGAATCGTATTTATTCTAGCCTGTTCATATTCTTTACACTACAGCAGCTTCTAAATGAGTCTACGCCACTGTTTTTGTCAATGTTGATTCAAAATAACTTACAACTAAAACTATGAATGATTTTGTTGACCCCCAGCTTTTCATGCCACCATGAGAGTGACATTGTTTATTTCTATGACTTTACTTGACAACTATTTGATGGATTGCCATACAGTTTGGCTTAGATGTTGATGCACATTTGGTGTATGACCAAATACCTAAAAGCTAATGGCATGCCATCAGCCTCAGCTGTGCTTTGTGTTTAGAGTTAATTAGCAAATGTTAGCTAGCAGCTGTAGCTTATATCAGTGCTGTGTCTAACATGGAGCTCCTGGGTGGCTGCAGATCCATGTGGAAATTCTTTAGCATCGAACAATATCACACACAAAATCATGCAAAGACATAAACAAGAGTTAATATGTTTTCCAGATCACGATCAGTGTTTACAGCTTTTCATTGTAACTGTGGAATATACACTGGTTGATGTACTTTTGCTAGTTAAATGCAGTTAACTAAGTTGAAAAGTTAAAGGTATAATATGTTAGATTTGTCCGTTGCTCTTTGTAAACACCATAGACTTATTATAAGAAGTTGACATAGTCATTGGTTTGTAGACTGCCGTTGTGAAGGCTTGAGTTTGACGATTTCACCGTCGCCATCTTGGAATACAGCTGTCGACCTCTTGGCTTTTTTGCAACCGATATTGTATTGCAGGTTTCCTGGTTTAAGTATGTTGGTCTCCTTCTTTGACTGATCAAATCCAGTAGGTCTACGATTATAAAATCTAGCCCAACAGCCCTGTAATAAATCAGAGAGGTGTTGGTTCAATTATGGTGAGTGTTGTAGCTGTGGTTAGATCACACCCTCTAATGGGTTGGGCCAGTGTCCCATTGAAAAAGTGCCAGTTCCCTCCATTGTTAAACTTGATTTTAGTGTCAGACCACAAAATCAAGCCAAAATGATAAATGGCCTTTGCAGAAATTATCTGTAAGTCCACTTCCTACAGATGAATATTTAATAAACTCAATGTGATTCCCTTCACAATAAACTGGGAAACTTTACCTATTACAACTTAAAAGTAGCCTAGCATCTCAACTAGAATGCCTCGGCACATTCAATAGTCCCAAAGTATTTACATAAAGGGACCCAGTTGTTCTCTGACCCACAGTTGGTTCTCACATGGTTCACTAAATATAGAAATCCTGCAGCACCTGTTGTCCCTGGTGCTTAATTGAAAAGGGCAAGACTATTTGTTTTTAGAGATTAAAGGGACATAATTGCTGTTGCACAGAGTGGGACTTCATAAGAAAAATGGATCAAGCTGAATTAAGGCATATTATTTTACATGGTTGTAGACTATTAGTCCTTTAGTAATTGTAAAGGAATTGATTAGGCTTTTTCCACTACTGGCTATCAATCTGGGTGTTGGATGGATGGAATAAACTGGAAGAATGATGTAAATTGATATACCTCAATGAGAAGCCAACAAAAGTAAAACATAAGGAATTGTATGGATTTTAGTATATGTAATAAAATCCATTAAATTCCTTATGTTTTACTTTTGTTGACTTGACTGCTATATTTGTAATGGGGGTCATTATGTCTAGGTTATGCTGCAGCTGTATTTCAGTTTGGTATTAACAAAAACAAAAAAACGTATCACAATAAGCTGGTCTAATGATGCTGAGGGTGTAAATGTTTGTCAGGCTCAGTCAAAGGATGTAATAATGGACTTGAGTGAATAACGCATAAGGCTTCATCGCAGTGATTGAAATGCATGTATGGATGATGTGGTGTCCACTGCCTCAGCAGCGTCTGCGCACAGTACTGGAGCATAAAGCCAAGCTGACGGACGCACAGCCGCTCTCCACACGGACTGAAGGGACTGCGGTGCAGCTGGAGGAGAAATAAGAAGAAGATGTCAGTAGCAGTGAAGAGAGGAATCAGCGCTAAAGCCGAGTCCAGAAAATGCGCAGGGCGTTTCTGGAGACTCTTTCCTCACCTTCTGCTGTGTCTGTCCCTGGTTGCATACGCAGCGCTGGGTGCGCTCATGTTCGAGCACATTGAGGGAAAGAGCGAGTTATATTTACCGGACGAGTACCATGACTTCCTTCGTCAGATTATCAGTACCGTCCAGAACCTCTCCAGTAAGTGACCACAAATATCTGATAACACTGGGCAACCAAACTTTTGAAGCTAACATATAACATCAATGGACTTTTTGATGATGGCTGATTAAATATGTGGCTGTTTCTTATATTTTCTTCCCATTCTATAATATTTTGGACCTAGGCATGCATGAAGCACATAATTTGCTCTAGACTGAACATCTTAATATTTTCTCTTGTTTCAGAAAACGACTCCTCCACACCTCCAAACATAGTGGAGGAAGTGGAGACTAAGATGCGTGAGTTCAAGTCCATATGGTTTCAGAGACCTGACAGATGGAATTTTTTTGGCTCTATGTTCTTCTGCTGCACTGTATTCACAACAGTTGGTAAGTCAACATGATTGTCATAGCTACTGCAAGTTGTGTATGTGTATATGATATATTTCTCCTCAAATGACGATTACCTGTGAAAGTGATATCTCCTGTGGCTCTGAGGCAGAAAGTAACCCTGATGGTGTCTTAGAGAAGTCATCAAGGTTAGGTATTTCAACTTGCTCTAATATATTGGCTCAAGCTTTTGGTGTCACCATTAAATGGGGCCACCTTCACAAACACCCTAAAACCAAATGAAGTACACTAAAGAATCATGTTTCTTTGTTTAGGCCATGGCTTGCGCTGTATGTTTCTCAGACGTACAGCATTTGGAACCTCGATAATGTTTGCCTCCCTTCAGTTGTCAATAGTTAGTATTCACATATTTCCAACAGCATAAAGTCTGATTGTCTGTGGTGGAATGAAACTAAGTACATTTACTCATTATATGAATATAACATAATAATATAAATATTACATATTTTAAAGCTTTAGTTACAAGTTTTTTTACATATTTGTATTTTGTGTTGATATATTATATATTATTATAGGATCAGCCACCCTATAATGTCTTGCTCCCTCTCTTTCCTCTCTCTACCGTCTTGCGGCTGGTTTTCTGACAGATTTTATGACCTAACATTTTTTGCCTTCTGCATGCATACGGTGCAGTTAACAAACCCTGCGTCTGCGTCGCATCAGTGACTTAAAACACCCTCTTACACTCAGAGAGGCCAGGGAGACTTGCTATTGTATTGGTTGGGCTCAGTAAGGAGCAGAGACCAGTAGACTGCCATGACCCTGTGCTTGAGAATCACTGAGTCTAACCTGACCAAATCGGGAAAGAAGGCTTCAGGATAGTAATATTTTCATGACCTGACCACTATGATATGATAATAATCATTAAAGGTCTGTGTGGGAAGCACACTCCCTCATACACATGAAATGTGATCAGCTGATTTCCTAGATGTTTTCCTCAGATGATCGCCACACACGCAGTTATTTCTTACCATGTATTATTATTTTCCCTCCCGTTGGCTATTGCTTTTCTTTTCATGAAGGCTAATTCTGTTGAATAACGCATCTCTTAGAGCTTTCATACAGAATAGATGGTATAATGAGTAAATTGAAGGCTGTCTCCGTCGAGCGTCTCGCTACCTCAATCTCGCTATAACTGTCTGTATTGGTGTTTTAGAAAAAGCTTTAGCATAATATTTGCATGACCTGATCATCATGATGTGATTATAATATGATAATCATTTAAAGTAGCCTCTGCTCTGTGTGGGAGGCACATCCCTCACACACATCAAAGATGATGAAAACAGCTGATTTCAGGCTGCAGTACAACAGCTTCAGCTTCGATAATCGCTGCTCTACCTGGTGGATAGATAAACAATTGCAATTGATCTCCATATATGGTGGCACAGGGGCATCACCAGTCGGCCCCTCGTTCACTACATGATTGCAGGGATCTTCTTTCAGCCAAGGACCCAGGAAGGTCCCAGCGGGGAACGGTCACCGATCGGTCTGTGCCCTGTCATGCAGGGAGGGGAAATTCGATGTGGCTGCATGTGTAACCAGTTAACGATTCAATACAATTTCATTACTACTTTGATACAGTACCTGAGTATATTTGGTCTTAGCTAGAAGGTCTTAGCTAGCGATGTTAATTTATTAGCACTTGCTAACATTTATCTAACAAGCTAAATATGTAAAGCTAATGTAGTCGAAACGATGACAGATTGTACTGCTTTATCCACACACTTTCGTCACAGCATAAGAAAGCACATTGCCATCGACTTTTTTCGATTTATTTTAAGCTATCTAGCTAACTAGCATACAGCTGGCTATTTAGCTATCTACCTTGCTACTTCCGCCATGCTTTGATTCTACACTGGTTACAGAAAGTATGCCGAACGGCGTGCTGGTGGTCAGCGGCAGTGCTGAGTATAGCGGCCCTCAATAATGTTTTACCGTCCTTTAGTCAATAGTGATTATCAGAATCAGAATCAGCTTTATTGGCCATGTATGCATACGCATACAAGGAATTTGACTCTGGTTTACACATTGCTCTCAACGTGAATACACAAGTTTACAATAAACAAGAAAAATATGAAAAATAAAACAAGGACAACAAAAAAAGTAGAACAGATGTAAGTATAAACATTTAACAACTATGTACAATATAAATTGGTGCTGGGCAAGGATTACAATTTGTAATCACGATTAATCGCATTGTTATGTGCAAAATTCAATAATGAATTCAAAAGTAGTATATTGTGCACTTTTATTTTAAAAGTACTGCTATATGAACTAAAGTGCAATAACATTTGGTTTGCAAACACTTTAAACAAATAAGGTTATTTTTAACAGCAGTATTCCCTTTACACAGTAGCAGTTATAACACAGTTATGATTCTGATAATAGATATTCAGCCGGTGTTCACAACTTTATTTTCATGTGTAATAGATGCAATTTGAAATATACACCTTGATAACTGCAAACCTATCTCATCATCGTCATGTTTTTTTCTTTTTTTTTTTACGTTTGTTAAATTCTCAGTAGCGATAACTAAATGATATTCTTTATACATATTCTAAACAAAAACACTTGAAATGAATCATTTATTTTTTGCTTTTTTTGGTATTGTGGTCAGACACATATGCAACACTGGTTACCGTAATATGTGTGGTATTTGTTATAAATGTACGTTGGTACATGGAGGGTGATAACAAGCTGTACACGGAGGGACTTAGGACCCAGGGGAATGTAGGTGAAGGAAACAGGAAGAGATCGAAGAGACGCCACACAAACAGCTGTTCACCGCTCACTGCCTGGCTCTTGTGTTAAAAATGTCCGCTTAATAATAAAAAAAACTGCGTTAACGCGTGATAAAATAATTGTTGGCGTTAATTAATTAATGCGTCAACGCGATAATAACGCGTTAACTTGCCCAGCAC